GCTGTGCTGTGGGGACGTGGGCAGGCTGACACGAGTGCCGCGCCGTGGGGCCGTGGGTGGGCTGACGCGAGTGCTGTGGGGACGTGGGCGGGCTGACGCGAGCGCCGTGCCGTGGGGACGTGGGCGGGCTGACGCGAGCGCCGTGGAAACATGGGCGGGCTGACGCGAGCGCCGTGCCGTGGGGACGTGGGCGGGCTGACGCGAACGCCGTGGGGACGTGGCTAGCCGGGCTCCAGGAGGCCTTTCGTGCTCCAGGAGCGCTCCGGCAGTGAAGTGGCTGCAGGTACTGGGCTGCAGGGATCTGCCAGCAGCAGGGCACCAAAGGGCCGTGGAACGAGACGTCGGGGTGAGCAGAAGGAGACAGAGGTGGAGAGGTCGCTGTGACAACTGAGGCAGGAAACCACCGGCCTGTCTCACCATGAAAGCAGCAAGGACGGCAAATCATGAGAAACAAACAGAACACTGAGAAACCTACGAAAGCCGGAACCTGTGAGAGAAGGAAAGCACAAGTATCTCCTAGGAACGGGAGTGACAGAGATGTGGTGAGACTGCGCCTGTCGAGGTGGGGACGGGGAGGCCAGGACAGCCAAGGCCGGCCCTACAGGTTCAGGCTCTCACAGCTTCACCGTTTCCTGCGACAGCCCTGACGCAGGGCTCAGCTGGACCCACGTGCAGCAGACAGATTTAGCAGCAAGGGCACTATTTCTGGTGAGATGATGCAGCAATGTGCATGGGAGACGGGCGGGGAAGGAGAGGGAGCGTGTGGGGACAGGCACTGCCCCCGCCGGGAGGAACGCCAGTCAACCTGAAACGGTCAAACAGCGCGGTAAGCCAGCACCTTCCGAACCTGCCGGCCTGTTCTTCCTTAATTGTGAGATTTAATACAGATGTAGAAACTGTACCAAACAACACGGACTTTGACAAATAATTACAATGCAAAACCCATGGAAAGCACCACCTAGGCCCCAGAGTGAGGCCGACCCGCAGGCGCCCCTCAGGCGCCCCTCTGACCTGGTCCTCTCCTGCCTGTCTCCGTTCGCACCCAGAAGCCAGGCTGCTGCTTCCAGCCTCCCCGTTCACTGCGACTCTCCCTGCCAGGCAGCTGTGGCCCGTTTCACTGCTGCACGGCACCTCACCGCTCCACACCCCGCAGCTCACCTTCACCTGCAGGTGGCTCCTGGGAAGCCTTGGTTTTAACCTCAGCAACAGAGCGGTGTTAGCCTCCCTTCCCGTCTCCTGACCAAGCACACCTAGCTCCCCTGGGGACACACTCAGGGATGCACTGGGCACACACAGCAGGAATGGGCTTGTGGGGGTCAGGACCTGAAACATGAGTAGGACATGCCCTAGAGTTCTCCAGAGAGGGCATCCCGATCCACACTGGTGCCAGCAGGCAGGTGCATCCCAGTGCTGGCCCCGCTGACAGTGTCCCCAGCCCCTGGCACCATGAGTTTGTGGCTGTTGTGTTTCGAATGTGTGCCAGTGTGGTGAGTGTACACACGTGTGACTGCGTGTCTGCTTTCCTCTGCACGGTCCTGATCACCAGTGAGGTGGGGCCCCGTCCGAGTGTGCTGGTGCTGGGCATGCTGAGCTCCTGCAGGAAGGGCCTGCTCAAGGCCACCACTCGCTTTCCTAGTTTCCCTTCCCTTTTCTCACTGGCGTGAAACGGCTCTTAGTGTACCTGGATACTAGGTGTGTGCCTCGTAGACACCTACCTGCCCCCCAATTAGGTTTTATTTATTTACTTTGGATGGAAAATCAAGTCTTGATTTTAATGTGGCCAACTTTATCCACCTTTTCTTTTGCAGCTGAAGTGCTTTTATGTTCTTTATAAAAAGTCATTTAACAACTTGAAATCACAAAGACGTTGCCTGCCATTCTCTCCCTGTCATCTTCCCAGATCCCCGATGCCGGGGGTCACTTCCCTCTGTGGTAAGCAGAGCAAAGGGCCATTCAGCTTAGCCTTGTTTGGGGGTAGGGCACCGCAGACAGTAAGCAGCGGCACAGAAGAGCCATGCTCCTGACCCAGGCGGTTCCGAGTCCTGGTGCCAGGCCCGCCCTCAGGACCTGGGCCCAGGAGCTCGGGGAGCAGTCCTCAGTGGACATGGTGAAAGGGTCAGACAGGCCACCAAGCCAAGCTGCAGGCCTCTGTGTCCCCACACCAGCACACCATCACTGAGGCGTGTGCATGGCAGTCCTCGTGGGCACAGCTGGGCAAGGGTGGCACTCACCGTCTTTCAGCTCCTGAGTGTCCCTGGGCTGAACAAAGTCTGGCTTGACGTTCTCAACCCACCAGAAGAGCTCAGCGATGAAGACCATGACATTCGGCTGGAAAGAGAGGGACAGGCCTGTGAGCAGCTGGCTCGCCACGTCTGGGGGCTGCGGTGTCAGAGCTGGCGTACCTTCAGCACCAGGGGGGCGTACAGCATGTCCTCCAGGGTCAGGTAGAAGCACTTGTTCAGGTACTCATTTGAGAATTCTCTCAGAAGCCGAATGTTGTACAGACTGTCCGCCATCGTCGGCACCTCCTTCAAGCATATATCTGACAACAGAAATACGGCTCGTTACAGACAGTCCGCCTCCAAGCAGCAGAGACCAATCCAAACACAGAAACTTCTCAGTGAAGCTGGGGGCAGCACTCACACCACTGAGGGACTGAAAGATGACATACGCACGGCTCCAAGTGGGGAGAGGTGACAGGAAGTGCTACCCACGGCTCCAAGTGGGGAGAGGTGACAGGAAGTGCTACCCATGGCTCTAACTGGGGAGGAGAGCATGCAGGAAAAAATGGCAATAAACAACGTGGAGGATCTGAGTCAACTGTAGTTAACATCTAAGACATGGAAGACTGAGCTTCCAAGGTGGACGGGAAACCACCCTTGAGGTAAAGGGGCCGTACTTCATGGAGGTCCAGGGTGTCCTGCTATTTCCTTCCTGTTGGCAACCCTTGGCAGGGGTTCTTTACATGTTGACAGGGCAGGAGGCACAGGGAAATGCAGAAAATAGAGCATGTCTGTTCACTCAAGCCACCCAGGGAGAAACGGCCATCGCCAAGAACAAACTCAGGGTGACTGCACGGCAATGCTGACGCCCCGAGGAGGGCCATTGTCAGCTCAGCTGCTGCCTGCAGGGCACTTGGCACCCTCACTTGCAAGAGGCCACATGGAGCTAGGATGCCCAGGCCACCGGAGGACAGCAGGCCAGAGCTCAGGACCAATCAGGCACAGCTGGACTGAAGACTGACAGTCCTGCCCTAAGTATACACAAACCAAAACAACAAAACCTAAGAAATGTAACTGATTCCAAATACATTGTATTTCCAGGAAAAAACTCCTTCCTGGGAAGGTTAGGAGGTATGCTCAGGTTCCCAGTCCCGAGCATCACTGACAAAGTCTGTGCCAAAGGTCTTCCATGGCACCACCAATTCTCAAGAAAGACCTGTCGGCTCAGAACCGCAGGGACTTGATACTGGTTCCCAGATTCCAGTGTGTGCTATCCAAAGGAGACTGGACGGGACACACACCACACACGTGTCTGTCTCAGATCTTGTCTCTAAGAAATAAACTATCACCAACAGGGTGGCGTCTCGCCCTTGCCCAAGGTGACCTGCGTCCTAGAGGGGTGAGGATGCTGCTCTTTGTGGGGATGTTTCATCACACATGCTGTGTGTGTGCCCCTAAGTACCGTACCCCTAAACCCCGGAATGTCGTCTTGGCTTTGTTTTCCATGCACGAGATACCAACCCCACCTGTCCTCTCGCAGCCTGCGTTTACGTAAGCGCTGCCCGTTCTAAGCTGGCCTGAGCTGGAAGACACACCCGCCAACAGCCTGACCTCATCACGCGCTCTGTGCTCCTCTCGTCTGCACGCTCCGGGGGGGTCGCATCGCTGTCCTCTGACCGGGGGCTGTTCCCCGATCCCTCTGGCAGCCCCCACAGCCCCTGCCGGGACCCCACACTCGGGCAGCTGAGAGACCCCATCTGAGCCAGCGTGTCCTTGCTTGTGGTGTGCTCACCTGCAGGGACTCTTACACACCGAGCTCACGGGGGTCGGGATTACGGAAGAACGCAGCCCACGTTTGCTGCAAACCCCTCTTCTTAGGGGCCTTCTCTTTGAGGTATTTTTTTGGTCACAGAACAATTTTTACCTTTTCACCCAGTTAAGTTCAACAGTCTTTTCAATTATTTCTGCTTGTTTGTAATTTAAGTTGTCCAACCAAGACCGTCATCCCACAAGATAACTTCCTCTACTTTCTCCTCAAAGTTTCTAAATGCTGCATCGCAGATTCCGGTCCCTCACCACCTGGGGTAAGGGCTATGCTGTGTCCCCTGCAGATGGCCAGCTGTCCCTGCTGCCTCCTCTGTGACCTGAGGCTCCCACACAGAGGCCTCTGGTCTCAGCTCTGTCTCCAGTCCACTGACCACCCCTGAAGCAGACAGACTGAAGCCCATGTCGGCTGACAGGAAGGAAGCAGCTTGGTGTTTGTGGAGCTGGTCCTTCACCTCACCCCTCAAAACCAAGTCAGGCGACACAATGAACAGTGACGGCACTGGATGGTAAGCCACTGAAAAAGCAAGGCTCCCTGGGCCTCCCTGACACAAAGCTCTTCCTTTCAGGGGCACTAAGACGTGTAAAGCAGGTGACGGTGCCCAAACTAGCAATGGAGGCAAAAGTCTTTACCTCGTCTCCAGGTGTCTCCCCACAAAGTACCAGCTCATTATAATGACAAAGCAAGACACAGCCATGGCACAGCAGAGAAGCCAGCAGATGCCATCCACCAGCAGTCAGCACTGGCACCAGCAGCAGACGCCATGCGCCTCCTGCCAGGATGCACTGGGCAACAGGCAAGGCGTGAGGAGCTCAAGAAGCACAACGGTATCTCCTCCTGAGCACATGTGGGACAAGCCCAGAGCAGGGCCAGCCACAGACCAGCTGCCTCACTCTCCAGTATGGCTGGCCAAGGAAGACGGGAAGGCTGAGAGGCTGGTCCTGGCGGAAGGGAACCAGGAGACATCAACTCTGCACAATGAGGGACCCCGGACTGGGAACCACGAAGGACGGGGTGGGACGACACACAAGATGCAGAGTGGCGGCCAACTGGTGTCTCAGTGTCAGATCTCTGCTGTGCAGGAGAAGGTGTGGGTGCACCAAGTCAGGAGGACAGAGAAGGTGGCGTCCACATGACCAGACGCAGCCACCGGAGCCTGGGTGAAGCCTGCAGGACCCTCACACACGCCACCGTAAGTTTAAGATGAGAGCAGAGCAGAGTGCTCTCAGAACCGGGCTGACCTGTCAGCCCGCCCTCCTCCACGTGAACTGCTTACATGATCTTGTCAACTCCTGTGAGGTTATTGCTGGACTGGTCATAAGTCTCCAGGGCCACCTGGGCAACTGCTCAGTATCTGGGATGCTGACTCCTGGTATCTGAGCATATGGCTTCACAGTGCCCCTCCGCCTGCTGCGGGGTCCTCCTCCGCCTGCCACGGGGTCCCCCCCACCCACTGCAGGGTCCCCCCGCCTGCTGTGGAGGGTTTACAAGCTTCCTGTGGGGCTCACAGTGCTGTTGCTGAAAGACCCCACATACCCGACAGCATCTGCTGTGTCCTGACGGGAGCCTTCCTTTGAGAAACAGTCACATGAGCCGTCACGTACAGCGTGGCCGCCACCACTACCTGGGGCTCCTCCCTGCAGCTACCAGGTTGCCCTGGTCGAGATGCTCAGGGGCAGCTCCAGTGTGCCCCACTGGGAACCAGGTCTCTGCTGCCACTGGGAGCAGGCCACCTCACCAGATCGGGTCAAGTCACGCTAAGAGAAGGGCCCCATCACCACTGGGCAGTGAGCCTCCCAGCATGGCCATGTGCCCAGAGCCCCACAGACTCATTGGACTGTTCTCTCACAGCCAGCTCTGTGGCTAAGGTGACAGTCTCCTGAGAAGAGTCAGACACACGCCCTCTCGTCAGCTCTGTGGACGGGTTTACACAGCACGGAGCAGCCAGGTCGGGAAGGTCTGCACAGACTCTGCAGTGCAAGAGTCCGACTGCATGGACCCTGCTTCCCGGGGATGCCTGCCAACAGTGTACTGAGGGGTCTTTCTAGTTTCTTGTCTCTTTTTGGTTTGACAGCCAATTTTCCACGTCATCTAACAGTTCAAATGCTACGTGCACAGATGCTCAAAGCGTTTTCCTCGTTACTTGTTTTCGTGTCTGCTAGTGGTGCAGCGGTGAAAACACTTGGCAGCTTACTGCAAGGCTGGCAGTCTGGACCCACCAGCCGCTCGGCGGGAGCAATGAGGGCTGCTTCTGTACAGACGACCCTCTGGGCAGTTCCACTGTCCTCTGGGTCCTCTGGGGGCGCCGTGAGTTGGAATCGACTTCATGGCAGTGAGTCTGGGTTTTGTGGGGTTTTTCAGAGCTGTACAGCTATCCTCCTGTTCTCTGCCAGCATTCTCTCCTAATCAGCCTCTTCAGAGGCCTATTTTACTGTCATTTAAAGTAACAACTTAGTTTTGCACATTCTCTAAAACTTCAAATTTTTCACTGTATTAATTCATGCTATTGAATTTATCAAAAGCTCTTTATAGCAGTTGTGTGTCCGTTTGGCTGGGCCACGTTTGGGAGTGGCCGGGCAGTTGGATGTAGTTACTCCCCATGATGAGACTGTAATCACCTCCATGGTGAATCTGCTCTGAGATGTTAATCAGGGGAAAGGGAGCTGTCTTTGGGGCGTGGCTGCTTCCAGACAGGAGAAGCTTTGAGAAAGGTCTCTAGCTTTCTGGCATGTTCCGGATTGCGCAATTGGCAGGGTCTTTATCTGCAGCTCCTGGACTTGAACCAGGAGCCTTTCGATCCTGCCGCCCACCGTGGTGTTTCTGTCACAGCAGCAGGAGAGACTCTTGAACAACTTTGCCACAGGACGAAACAGGCTGGTTAAGCGACACTGCCATCCTCTGCCCACCCCCAGCCTCCTAGAGACATGCCCCACCCTGCCCGGCCACTGAGAGGCAGCCCTGCTGTCGGCCCCACAGGCTGTGGGTTAACTGCAGAGCAAGGCGGATGTCACATAGCCGCAGAGCACCTCTGCTGACGTGGCCAGGACGACTCTGCTCCTCTCGACTGAACACTGCCTCATCTTCTCACCCCTTTGTTTCCTTGGACAGCCTCTGCTCTGGGCCGGCGCCCTCCTCCCCTGCCTTTGGGGGTCCCCAGGTGTTCTGCTGGGCCCATCCTCACGGCCTCAGGAAGGCTGCGGGCTGTGCCTCCTGAGCCCTGGAGCTTCTGAAGAACTCCTTCACGCCCTGCCCTTGCTGACGGTGTCCCAGGCCGACAGGCGCCTGCAGGCTTGGCCACGCTGTCCTCTCGCTGCCAGGCCTGCGTCACTCGGGCCCCAGGCCTGTCTGCCTCTGGCAGCAACGTGGGAGCGTGGTCTCTGACGGCACACCGTCCTCTGGGACACAGTCGTGGTCCACTCTCCTTCCGCCTTCTCCACGCCTTCCCAGACTGGGCTCTGGTCTGTCGTGCGCTCGCACATCGACTGGTCCCACAGGCACCATTTCCTGCCTGGCCTGCCGCACCACGTGTCCTGTCCACAGGCTGTGTCCTCAGGGCTCCTGCTGACCAGGCTGTCCTCTGGCCACTCACAGGTCTTCATCTCCAGCTGAGCCACGGCGAGGCAGGCTTCACTGTGGCCAGAGGCAGGGGGCCACTGCCTCCCGGGCAGCTCTGCCGCGAGTGCCCTCCAGAGGTGCATCAGCACCGTGGACACCGAGAGCAGGAAGGCGGCTTCCTGGGTGGGGGAACAGGCAGAGGTGCCCTGGGCCCAGGGTATCACCTCACCCGCCACTGCCACCTCCTCGGGGGGGCAGGTGTCTGAGGCCAGAGCCCGTCTGCTGGTTTCTCCAGACGACACGTCCCTGGGCGAGGGCACCTCACTGCCCAGCCAGGGCCGACGGGGCCCCAGCACACGCTGCCCTGCACCACGGTCCTGGCTCCGGGCCGGGTGCCATGCCCTCCTGCTCAGGCTGGTGTCCACCATGCTGGCCGGCCTTCTCATCAGAGGACAGACTGTGTCAGTGACGGCGGTGTCCTTGCTTCAGCTGAGACGGGCTCGTGGTTCCTGTCAGTTCCGAGTCGAGGAGGAAGCACCTGTGCTGCCTTCAACCTCCCCCGGCCTTGCTTCGGGTCTCCCTGCTTGCTTTCCTAGACGTACACAGCGCACTACCGTCTGCAACTTTCTGGACTGACTTCCCTCTGCACACTTACTCAGCAGGGCCCCACAGGTTGTGCGATGTGTGTCACCTGCCCACTACCCTGCAGACACTTCCTGGGCACTCTGGCCCCGAACCACTACCGACGGTGGGACACGCCCTTGAGCTCACAATGCACCAAACACCCCGTCTCTTCTTTGATTCATCAAACACTTGGGGGGGGTGTCTTCCCTGGGCTTGAAGCAATAAAGACCCTGGATGTGTGGGGGAGGCAGCAGCCTGTGGGTACTGAGTTGCCAGGAAAGGAGCAGTTCTCCGGTGCCGTGGGGACAGCACCCTGACACGTCCGTTCTCTGTAAATGTCTCCACGTCCATTTATTTGAAGGTAAAGCCTAGTCCTGAAGCATGGTGCACTGGGCCACACCTGTCATCTCAGATGCCAGCTTCTGTGGCCACGGGAGATGTCCATGTGTTGTGAACCCGCCCTGTGGTGTGTGGCAGGAGCGTGCCTCTGACCAGCTCTCCCCGCACCTGCTGTCTCTTAGTTCACCTGGAAGCTGGGAGGTAGCAAGCCTCTGCGTCCTGACACCTCCGTGAGCTGCTCGTCTGGCTCCCTGGTCAGTCTCCTCTCTGGCATTCCCCAGGGGCGGGTCAGAAGGCAGACTGGGTACGACGGAGGAGGACCTGAACCATGAACTGGGAGGTGGAAGACAGCACCATGCAAGGAAGGTGCTGAGATGGACAACAGAGGAGCGACTCCAGGCTGCACTCAATGCCCCCAGCTCCCCGCATTCCACCCCCCCGGCATGCCCCCCAGACGAGTGTACGTTAACTTCCTGCTGCCCCATCGCACGCTGCCTTCTGTGGCTTCTGATTTGCACAGGCTCCCCTCCTGGGGGCTGCTGGTCCCGCAGGTCCCCCACGGTGCTGCTGCGGACACCGTAACCTGGAGCAGGAGCAGAGCAGCCCTAGCTCACCCCCCTGGGCCTCCCACCCAGCAGCAATGGTCCACAGGTGGGACCCAAGTCTGGCCGCTCCCCACCACATGCATGTCCCCAGTCCCTGTGCCACGCGTCCACTGCTGCATGGAGCCACCCCCTCACCCAGCACGCCACGCAGACAAGCATCCTCAATGGTCTGTAAAGATGAAGTATGTGTTAATTTTCCCAGCCCCAAACCACATTCCAGCTGTTTTCACTCAGTCCTATTAGGGTTTACAGCCAAATTCCTCAGCATCCTGGGACACACATAATGTCACAAATGTTTTAACAACACTTTCAAAGTACAATTCTGCCATTAGACAAAATGCAGCTTAAACCGAAGTATGTTGTGGTTGTTAGGTGCTCTCAAGTCGATTCTGACCCACAGCGCCCCTAGAGGACAGAGTGAAACTGCCCACGGGGTCTCCAAGGCTGTCAATCTTCAGGGAAGCAAAGCCCAAACCACACCCACCGCCGTGGAGTCCATTCTGACCCACAGCGCCCCTAGAGGACGGACTGCCCACAGGGTCTCCCAGGCCACCATCTGTACAGAAGCAAATCACCAGGCCTTCCTTTTGAAGAGCCACTGAGTGGGTTTGAACAGCCAACCTCTGGGTTAGCAGCCAAGCGCTGAACCATTTGTGCCACCAGGGCTCCGTCTAGTATAAGCCTGTCACCCCCACTGTATTGTCTCTGCATGCCAAAGTGCTGGCTGGAGACGGGGTTAGGGCTGCCTTTGTGAAGGGCGACCTCCAGGCCCGGTCCGGGGCAGCAGTCACTCACCATCCAGCTTCATCTGCTCTGGGCAGTAATAGTGAATCACCGCCAAGATGGCGGCGCCGTTGCTGCCGCCCTTCATCAGGTCCTCCAGCAACGGGAAGTGGGGTAGCTGCCTACTGGGGAGGTGCTCCCGTCGGTAGCGGACCTGCAGTCAACAGAAGGAAAACGGTGGCTACACAAGGCGCGTCCCGGCCACCATGTGCGTGATAGGCATGCTGTTATATCGAGAGTTCAGAGAGGCCCACCAGACAATGTCTAGAAAGGGCTTAAAGCGCCAGATCACGTCCTGTGCCTGGCACACACATGGCAAGGCTCAGGGGGTCGGGTACAACAGAACGGCTTTGAGGCTGCACCAGGAAGGGACAGGCGCTGGCGAGCCAAGGCCTGACACTACCATGGAGGCAGGCCCACGCGGCCGGGGTAGAACACACGCCTAAGCTACAGAAGCCGACACGCTACACGCTAAGGAGAAACAAGTTAAATGCCGAGCGTCCTGCTCTCGGAAGCCAAGCGGTTGCCCGTTTTCTGAAGGTGCTCGGCACTGCCTACTGCGTGGAGACGGAGACGGCCCCCAGACAGCTTGAGGCCTCAGAAAGCGGGTGAGACACACTGTGTGAGAACACCAGCGGAGCTGCAGGAAAGGAAGCCGGGCCAGGGGCTCTGTGCAGCCACGGTCTCCCTGGTGGCTGCCCCTGCAGTTACGGACTCCAAGCTCTCCGAGGCCTGGCTTCCTTCCTGGTTGTATGCCACTGCAGCCACCAGGCATCCCCATGGCGAGGAAGGTGCCTCTGCTCCACGTCCGAGGGGTCCACGGCCCGCTGTACTGGCCACGAGACAGCGTCTCAGCACAGCACTTCCCCGTAGGCCACATCTCCTCCAGGGAAGAAAACACCCAACACTAACTGGTCAGAAAACCAGCAGTCTGGGCTAAGAGGCCCTGCTGTGGAGGGCAAGGCCGAGGGAGGTTCAACCTGAGGGAGAGTCGCTATCTCGAGAACCCCACAGCGCAGAGCAGCCAGCGGCAAGGTGTAGTGGGAACGCTTCTCACACCTTCTCTTAATTTAGGAACGAGGCTGCTTTGTCCCAAGAGCGTGCCCTGGACTGGACTTTAACTTGTTTCTCGCAGCCCGCCTCAGCCCCCAGTGTGCCCGCTGTGGCTCCCAGCGCGCCCGCCTCATACTGTACCACACGTGCACACTCCGGGGGCACCAGCATGCAGGACGCTACCGCATGCGCCAGATCAGCCTTCCAGACAGACAGCAGACACGGCCACAGGCATGCAGTGAAGCAGATGAGGTCTGATTAGGGATGGAAGATGGGCATCGCAAGGCAGTAAGACAGCCTCTAACTTGGGGGGCTCCAGCTAGCCTGTGCCAGCAGCCACCTTGTAAACCAGGCTCTTTAAACTGCCAGGAGGGGGTCTGAAGGTAAGACCTCTGAACCTGCCCGTCTGTTCCACACCACTCCGTACTCGTCATTAACTATCTGCTGGGCACCCTTGTGGACAGTGCTATCAACCAGCTGAGCAAAGGGCGTTCTTGGCTACACTGGCCCGTCAGACAAAGGTCCCATCTGACACGCCCCCCCGCCCCCCGGGCAGCAAGTTCCGTGGGCCCGTGACGGCCCCTCCTCGCTCAGAACTGTGGCAACATCTAGTCCTCTGGTGTAGGGTCCAAGAACTCACATATCCTAACAACACTTTCCTCTTCTTTCTCGTCAACATAGTTCAAAGAGAAGCAAAAAGGTCTGTCTGCTCTGAAGCAGAAGAGAACATGCTGAGATAGGCCTGCTGATCTGCCGGCCCCACTGCGCTCCCTGCAGGGTGATAATCTGGTCAGAAAAGAACCTGGTGCAGATCGTTACAAGACGTGTGCTGTGAAGGCTCATCCTAAAAGACGCTGGAGCACCGGGCCTCTCTGCAGAGACCCTGCTGCCAACAGGCCCTGCCTGCAGGTGCGCGGCCACTGAGCACCGCGCCAGTGCTGCTGAACCCGCTCACTTTTTAATTTTCTTTTTAGGTGAAAATTCATGCTTTTCGGAGTGTGAACTCCAGTCATCCTTGCTGGCCTAACTCGACCCTTCCCTCGGAGCAAGGGAGCCTGTTTCCACTCTGGGGACCCCATGGAGAAGGGCGTCCCAGAGGGCAGGGGGGCCAGCAGAGACAGAGAGAGACCCTGGGAAACCCCAGGGTGAGAAGTACCCCCACAGCCCCCACGATCTGTCACCTCCATAACCAAACAGTCGCATCTGCAGTTCTCAGTGCTGTCGTGCTCAGTATCAGTGTTAGGGGGTCGCACGGGAAGAACAATGCTTCGGGTAATTCAGAACACTAGGCCACTTCTCACTCCTGGTGTCTATGGGAAGGATGTCAGGGAAGTGTGGGGCTGGCGTCCCGTCACGGAAGGGAAGCATGGGCTGGCGTCCCGTCAGGGAAGCGTATGTTGGTGGCAGAAAGAAGTAATTAAGTGTCCAGGAGAAGAAACACACACACTTTTTCTTTAAAATGACCTGCAAAGTCAGGCAAAACTAAACTCTGTGTGTTGGTGACATGATGTGGCAAAGCCCAAGCCACGTCATGGCCGCTCGGCCCCGCAGCAGCCACAGCTGCGCACAGACACAGGAACAACACACAGAGCGTGGACAGAAGAGACAGACGGAGGTGCGAGCGGTTGTCAATGGAAGTGAGCAATGAGTGGGCACGATGGGCTGGTGGCAGCGGGCCAGTCATCCACTTACGGGCACCAGCTTCCAGTACCACTTGGAGGGAGACTGCAAGGAGGCAGGAGGGAGGGAGGGAGGAGAGGAGGTCAGCAGAGTGCTCAGAACCCACTCCGGCCGTGACCCCGGGGGACAGCACTGCTCAGTGCCCATGACCCTCAGCACTCTGGTGCTCAGAGAACCCCAGAGGGAGACGGAAGCCCCTGCCCTGCGAGCTCTGCAGTAGCACTGGACACTTAGAAGCTTGGGGCAGGACGGTGTGCACAGGAAAAACGTCACCTCTGACCCCAGGGTGCTTGGTGCTTCTCTCCACCTGACCACTGGATGGGCCAATTCCCAAAACACAAAGGAAGGTGCAAGGCTGAAGGTGGGGGTGGAGGAGCACACGGGAGCCCAGACAGGGACTGCTCACCACTGTCCCGGCTAACGGAGGTGGGGCCCCCGGAGCCACAGACAGGAAGCGGGGACAGAGGGAAACACACGGCTCCACCCCCAGGATCAACAGGAGACTGTAGTCCAGCCAAGTGTGGCCTGCATTCACCTGTGTGGGCTCACCACGGGCAGGCACAAGGAACACGAAGGTCAGTGCTGGAAAAGTGTGGCACACCCTCCACACTCGTCAGTGCCTGGGGCTGCAGGGTCCCTGTCACACCTTCCGCCTGCATCGGTCCCCATCACACCTTCCGCCTGCATCGGTCCCC